CCTGGTAGCCCCTCCCTGTGCCCGCTTGCTGCGTCGCTCCGGGGTGAACAAACCCTGCGAGTGCACCGAGTGGGTTGTCCTAGAGATAGGACCGATCCGTAAGACTGCTGCTAGCACAGCTACTGCATGGTGCTCACCCAGATGTTAAACATCTGGTCTTGTGACAGATGATGTGTTTTGAGCATGTTCGTGGTAGTTCTTTATTTCTACAAAGTTCATCGGTGAACAGGAAGACCATGCACTTTGCCTTTGATATTTGGTCTCTGACCCTCCATTGCACCCCCTCGCTTGAGATTGCAGTGCCTTTGGGGTTTTGCACAAGAGAAAAATGCCATGTCCTGCCCCGAGGCCGTGCAGGTCCGTGTAACTTGCCCTTTCCCTGGGAAAGGCTGCCCGCCGGGTGTGGGGCTGTCACTCGGAAGCCCCCAGGTGAGGTCAGGGTGACAGGAAGTGTGCAAGTGGGCCTGGCCCCTCTGGTGCTTCATGTTCGGAGTCCTGGTCTCCTGCTCACGCACAGAAACTGAGCCCAGGAGGGAGAGGGACTTGGAGCGGTCACAGAAAGCGCCGGCAGCAGAGAACTGAACCTCCTGCGTCGGGTCCCACGCCTGTACTGGGAGCCTGTCCACTCAGCGTGGATCTGGCAGGCGACTGGAAGAGGCTCTCATGTCTCACTTGGAGACACGTGAGACCTTATTAATGGTGTGTGCGTGTTGGATTTGGGCACCCGACACAAGCTCTGTCCTTCTCTGTCACCATTCTTGCTTTTAGCAAGGGACTGGGACGGGAGCGTGGCGTTTACGGCTGCTCTGGTAGGGATCCCCCGCGCTCAGCCCGCGGCAGTGTGGCTGATGCTCCCGGGGACTCTCGGAGTACTGAGGAGGGGAGCGGGCCTGGCTTTGGCTGCTAAAGAAACCCGCAGGGCGTGTGGGGACAGTTGGATTGGTGGTTGGGCTTCTCAGACGGGCAGGGATGGAGGCGTGTGAGGACACAAGCTGTTAGGAGGGAAAATCAAAGGTGAGTCTTGGAAAGTGCTGGATACAAACACGTTTCCGGGGCTGCAGCAGTTTGCCCCGGAGAGATGAGCCTGCTGGCAGCTCTCTGGGGACGGCGCTTGGCTTTGGTGTTCCCCCACCCCGTGTGCCTGCTGCAGGGTGCTCGGCATCTGCTCACAGCGTCGAGGCGCAGGAACCGGAGAGGAGCCCGGCAGTAAGGCCTGGCTCGGGGTGGCGGTAAGACGCAGGTATCTCGCTTCACGCATGTGCGCGCCGCTTCTGCTGCTGCTGAGCCGGCAGCTCCGGCTGGTGACGGTAGCTCCGGCTGGAGGGAGCTGTGTTTGCCTTGGTTCCAGCGCCGTGAAGGCAAAACCACAAGAACTCGGGACAAAATGCTCACGTTCAGCACACGCTGCCCTTTCTGGGAGGCTGAGCTGAAAGCATGTTTTAATCAGAGGAGCGGGATTAACAAAGCACATATCCAGAAGCCATCCAGGACTCTGTCCAGGTCTTCAAAGTCACTGAGATCGTAAACAAATTAGACCATTTCCTCTGTACTTGGCTATCAAAAATAAGCTCTGTGCCCTGCTTTAAAAAAGAGCTGCAATAATTTTTTTCAGCAGTGAGACGCACGGGGGACAGGATAGACCTTTCTGGGACCTGTTAGAGATCACCTGAGCTAACGCCTTTCCCCGGCTCAGATGCGAGGGGTACACCCAGCTCTTTTTGGCTTTGGAGAGAAAGACATTCTTGGGAAGCATGATGGTGATGTCCTCCTGGGTGTTCTCTTGCCAGGTGGGAATGGCCGTAGGGTTGGTGCTGACCCTGGCGGTGTTGGCACAGTCTGGGAGGTGGTAGCTGGGGTGTAGTTCTTGCGTGTGCTGTTTCTGCACTTGCCAAAGCAGCCTGCAACCGGGACATACGAGGTGCTGCGTATGTCCGGTCTGTGCCTAAACCATCAGCTTCCCAGTGCCACGTTGCCCCAGCCCCGCATGGTTCCTTTCCCTGTTGTTTTCACTGCGTTTACCACCACATTCTGTATTTCCTCCTGACCTGTCCTCTGGTAGCCAAACCACGGGATTTGTAGAAGAGCTCCCCTGGAAATGGCACTTGCTGGAAAAGCCTCTGGATGGGGCGGGAGTCTCCAGCTCTGCTGGTTGGTTTTGCAGGAGGGGTTGGGAAGGGATGTGCACAGGGTGTTTCTGGGGAGCCCTCGTTCTTGTGTGCTCGTACCAGGGACCCGAGGTGGCACCTCTGATGCAGCGCCCAGACGTACCCTGCGTGTGCGGGAGCACTAGTCACGGCTGCTCTGGCATTCCCCAGGGCGGGTCGGCCAGCCGGAGCGTGCTGGTGTCACTGCCTGCCCTCACGGGCACAGCCCTCAGGCTGGGGGCTTATTTCATAGAATCACAGAATGGTTTGGGTTGGAAGGGACCTTAAAGACCATCCAGTTCCAACCCCCTGCCATGGGCAGGGACACCTTCCACTAGACCAGGTTGCTCCACGCCTCATCCAGCCTGGCCTTGAACACTTCCAGGGAGGGGGCCTCCAGAGCTTCTCTGGGCAACCTCTTCCAGTGCTTCACTACCCCCTCCAGGAAGAACTTCTTCCTGACATCTAATCTAAACCTCCCCACTTTCAATTTAAACCCATTATCCCGTGTCCTATCACTACAGGCCCTTGTAAAAAGTCCCCCCCAGCTTCCTTGTAGCTCCTTCAGGTACTGGAAGGTGCTATAAGGTCTCCTCGGAGCCTCCTCTTCTCCAGGCTGAACCAGCCCAACTCTCTCAGCCTGTCCCCATAGCAGAGGGGCTCCAGCCCTCTGAGCATCTTCGCGGCCTCCTCTGGACTCACTCCAACTGGTCTATATCCTTCTGATGTTGGGGGTTCCACAGCTGGATGCAGCACTCCAGGTGGGGTAGTCTCTGCTGTTGCCTGCTGAGCCAGAGTCAAACCTGGCAGCTGTCTCTGAAAACCCCGAAGCTTTCATGGCTGTCAAAAGGACTCCCCAAAACTAGGCTGGAACCCTGTCGTGTTCCCAAGTCTGCAGGCAGCCTTGAACAGCTCCGGGGATGGTGGGAGCTGCCCTCTCGCTGTGCTGAGTCCTGTCAGTGGGTTTGTATGGACAGCCAAGGTGAGTGTTGGGGTGTTGGCCCTCCTGTTCTGTTGATGCAGGGCTCCCGGCCGGAGAGCCAAGCGTGGTGGAGCCCGTTAGTGTCCATTCTTCTGCTCGCTCTCCTCCCACATGGTGCTGGCTGCCCGTGGGAGGCGAGGAGGGCTCCAGGTGCGTAAAGCTGGGGCTGGCGCTGCCGAGATGTGCTGCTGCCATCTCTTACTGGGCCAGGGAGGGCCTGGGACAAGGTCTTGGGTGCCCCTGGTCCACCTAGAGGCACCGTGCCAGAGCCAGAGGCCCTGGAGATACCTCTGTGCCTTGCCTCAAGGAGCCCAAGCTGCTTGCTCTGGCTGTTCTGGTGGCCTCTTTCCCAGCCCCGATAACTGCTGTGTCGGTTCAGCTGGGCCCTGGCGCTGGATGCAGCTCGTTTTCCTCCCCAAGCTTTTTTTTTTCCCCCCATCCCAGTGCAACATTCCCAGTGGTTTCAGCAGGGAGCTGTGGAATGTCTCCCGCTCCCGCCAGGGCCCACCTGAACAAGCCGGGCATTGAAGGGAAGGCTCAGCCCAGCCACACACAGACAGGGAGGGCTCTGGGTTTGGTCCCTGACCCCACAGTGGGAGGAAATAACCGGAGGTGGACGGTGACATCAAACGGACCCCAGCCCGGCTTTCATCTCCCCGGCACGGCATGGAGTGGGGCAGAGGGAAGCCGAGGGTCTGGGGCTCTGATTGTGGGGAGCCGTGTCCTCTGCGGTGCCAGTGCCGCCCCCGGGATGCTGGGGATTTGGGCAGCGTAGGCGGCCGTGGCCTCTGCCTGTTGCAGGAATGTGACAGCCCCTCCCAGCCCAGTCCCATGGGCATCCAGGAGCAGACTGGCTGTGGATGTTCATGCAGGGCGTGCTGCACAGTTGTGTGGCTGCGGGGAGCTCCCTGTTGTCCCGTGTGCATGGGCATTGCCTTCAGGTGTTCCGGGTGTTGGTGTTGGGCAGAGGTGGTGCCTTCCTGGGGGAGGGCTGTGTCCCACTGGATTTCTCAGCCCTCAGGTCACCCTCCATCCATCCCAGGGCTCTTGGAAGCTGGAACCCAGGGACCTGCTGTCACTAGCAGCTTGTCTGGGGCCACCCATGCCCACCA